TTGATTTTATTGATGCAACACACATTAAAAAAAATATTTCTTGAAGATACGTCTCGTTATTTACAATTACAAACTTGGATCGCGCCAAGTGTTCAGCTCGTGGTGAAGAAGGAAGCGTAAGAGAGCGAGACTTGCTACGCGTTCAGTTGAATATACAAAGTAAAAAAGCATACTGGCTGCTGCGTTAGCGAACTAACGCAACACTGCGGCCGGCACTAATAAATTATTATTAAAATGTTTAATGTTTATCTCGTTAATAAATGTCACTTGAATTAACTGTTCTTTAATCAAGCATGCCTTTCTAGGAGGTAAAGTTTATTTGCAGTTCTTCTAAGAATAACTGGTTTGTCGCCAGAAATCACGCGTACTTCAGAAGAACGTACTTGGCTATCACTTGATTTAAGTATATTTTGGATAACGCCCATTTTCCAAACTGAACGTGGAACTTTTGGATCGTCTATCAATACAACATCTCCAATTTTCATATTAAACCCCCAACTTTGGTGTGTCACATTTGTGTGCATTTCTCGTAAGTTTATCAAGTATTCATTTTTCCATGTGTGCCAATAATGATCCAAAATCGCTTTTTGGTGCAAATACTTCTGCTTATCATCGCTTTGATCAACAGTTAAAATGTAATTAAAATTCACAAATTCTAAAGGTAATTTTCGTCCAAACACGAGATGATTTGGTGTTAGAGGCTCGTCGCCGGGTACTTCTTACAGAAACGTAATCGGACAGTTGTTTACAACAACTTCAATTTCCCGACGGGCATTTGTTTTTAAAAGTTACGTTCTAAATGTTTTTTAAACGTCTTTTAAACGTCTTTTAAACATTAATGTTTAAAAGACGTTTAAAAGACATTTAAAATACATTTAGATTGTAACTTTTAAAAACAAATGCCCGTCGGGTTCAGCCAATATCGTTAGCATTTCTTCATAATTAACTCTTGATGTTTTTAGAACCTTTTTAGATACTCTCTTGGTAGTTTGGATCATCCTTTCAAATATCCCTCCCCACCAAGGAGCAGCAGGAACATTAAAACACCATCGTATACGTCTTGAACTTGAGAAGATTTGAGTTTCTTCAGCAGAAAAATTTGAACCATTATCGCTGATAAATTGAAAGGGTGCGCCGAAGCGACTTATAAAACGACGAAGACCACGAATCCAGGCTTCCGCTGTACAATCGGGAACCAAATCTAAATAGAGAAAACGTGTACTACAACATGTAGCAACAAATACCCACGCTTTATACATCACATTAGTTTCATAAATATTCTTAAGCGTGATTGGTCCGCAAAGATCTACTCCCACATATTTAAATGCATATTCATCATTAACTCTAGATAGAGGTAGAGAAGGAGAATTAGGATACTTAAAATGTTTACTGTCAAATCTTTACAAGTGTAACAATTTCTTACTATATTTTTAATTAAATTGCGAGCTTTTGTTAACCAAAACTTAGTTCTTAATTCATTAAGTGTTTCTTTAACACCACTATGTTTAGTAAGACAATGATAATGTAAAATAATTAAATTGGTTAAGTAATTTTTATTTGGTAATTATATATGAAATTTTGAATTAAATAGAATTGGTGCGTTACTAAGACGACCTTGACAACGAATTATCTCATCGGCTCTAAAAAAACCTAAATCTCGTTTTAATTGATTATAATACTCACTATTATATATATCTTTTTGAATGAATTTAATACACAATATTTCTGCATTTTTTTAATTTAATTCAAAAGTAGTTAGTGTAGATAAATCATTATTATTATTTTTTTTTTAATTATACTAATAAAACGCAAAACTAAAGCTGTAACCTTAAGAAGACAATCATATGTTTTAAAATTCTTAATGTTCATAAAATCTAAATTTACTAAAAAATGTTCAGAGGTAATTAAAGTTATAACTTCAGACTGAGTATCTCCTTGTTTTCTTAAATCAAATGAAGGCCAGGAAATTAAACTATTGAATAAAAAACTAGGACCTTTATACCAAAGGTCATTATTTTGAAAGGTACTAAATTTACAACCATGAGATATAATATCCGCGGGGTTTCTTTCACTTTCAATATAATTCCAAAACTTAATATCATACAATAAACGAATTTTTTCAAGGAGCTTCTGAACAAAGGCTTTATATTTTTTTATTTATATTGTTTACCCAATTAAGACAATTAACGGAATCAGAAAATAACTTAACACAAGAAATATTTAAAACACACGATAACTCTTTATATACAACTGAAAACAAATTAGCTAATAAAAACATTGCCCTTAATTCTAATTTAGGAACAGTATTCTTAAGTAAAGGAGAAACTCTTGATTTAGAAGTAACTAGACGAGAATTCGCAACTCCCTCAGCGCTACTTCTTAAGTAAATGCAACACCTGTACGCTTTTAGACTCGCATCGCAAAAGCAGTATAACTCAAATTTATTATGTTGGATGTTATTAACACACTTATTATACCATCTTGGAACATAAATAAAAGGTACAGAACTCAAATCATTAATAATAAATCGTTTCATTCAATCAAGATCTCTTTAAGTGAGTTCTAAGTGAAGGAATAAGTGAATTCCACCCTAACTTTAACTTACAAATCGATTGAAATAATATTTGACATCTTACTATAATAGGATTCACTAATCCTAAAGGATCATAAAAACTTGCAATGAATTTAAGAATACTTCTTTTAGTAGGTTTTTTTTAGTAGGTTTATTGTCCACTAAATAAATCACTATAATAAATCCTGAAAGGTAAAAATTAAATCATCTTCAGTTTTATTCCTCTTTAAACCAAGAACTTTAGTAATATTACTTGGGGTTGAATTGTCCTATTTACTTAAACTGCATAGTTCCTTTGAGTTTGACTCGAATTTTCTAAGACAAAAATTTCCTTCTTTTAAACATGATTTAGCTTTATTATAAAACACAAGTCCTTCGGATACAGAATCAAAACTCGCATTTAAATCATCCACATGTAATGATTGAATTTCTTGCTAAAATCAAAATCATTCACAGCATAACGTTCAGCGTGATTAATTAAAGTCGCAGATAATAAAAAAGGAGAAGTTACGCCAAACAAAACTCGACACAATTGATAAACACTTAAACTACTATTTTTTAAATTATTGTCTAAATCAAATAAGTCTTTATTCCATATAAATCTTACAAAGTCTCGATGCTTTTCATCTAATGCAATGTTTAAAAATGCTTTCTCAATGTCAGCAATTAAAGCAATTCGCTTCGCACGAAAACGTAAAAGTATACTATATAATGAAGTTGTTAGAGATGGTCCTGAAAATGACAAAATCACTTAGCTGGTAATACTTGATCTTTAAAACGAGTGTTTTCTCCAAGAAGAACGTTGACAAATTTCACCTAAATAATAAATATAATAACCTATAGTAATCTTACCATAAATCTCAAAAAATAATGAACTATCACATTAAGTTGAATAAAAATAAAAACGACTTAGCTCGTTAAATCTTCTAATATCTTTTAAATCGTGGGCTCTATAAAGAGTTTGGAAGGAACTCTAGCATTAATTCTCATAGATAAGATTACTTTAATATATATTTCTTGGAGATACGTCTCGTTATTTACATATACAAACTTGGATCGCGCCAAGTGCTCAGCTCGTGGTGAAGAAGGAAGCGTAAGAGAGCAAGACTTGCTACGCTATCAGTTAAATATTCAAAGTAAAGAAGCTGGCTGCTGCGTTAGCGAATTAACGCAACACTCTTTAAACCTCTGTTGAATGTTGAATTGCTAGATTTTTAATTTCACTTTTTTTAGCTCCACAAACATTACATGATTGGGAGAACAGATTGTTAGTGAGAGCATTCACCACTTTACCATTAAACATGTTTAAATCTAGTTTGAACTTAAATGTGATTAGGTTTGCCTTCTGCTACTTCTAACTTTACCTCAAAATTGACTCGTCAATTTGTTTTCGATCCGCTTCATTTCTTTGAGCTTCAAGTTCTTTTGATTTCTTTAGCTATAGGAGAGGAATCGGTTCACAGATGTGTACAAGAGAGCTTCTCGTTTAACCACCTATTTCACTTCCTGATGGTCAATTTAAGTGACAAAATAGCTGTTTGAAAAAGAATTTGCTTGTTAACTTGGGCCTCGCCAATGTTTGTATAAGACGTAACGTTTTAAAATTTATTATTATTATCTGATTTAATTGCATTAAAAAAATATAAAAGGACTGATACGGGTAATATCAAAATTACTCTTATGTAACACCGAGAAAAACAAGTTAATATAGTGCGCAGTGGTGACGAACATTGTACTTTTTAAATTTAATTTGAACAAAGACAAGGTGGTGAGTAAACAATATAATGAGGAAGAGAACTCCATATCTTAATAACTTTTTTGCAGAAGAAAAATCTCCGTGAATTGTTAATACATTTGTACGTAGAATAATTTTTGAGCATCATATGTTATAGAATAGTGAGAAAGTGCAAATATAATATTTAAGATTAATAAAAAAATTAGATTATTAGAAAAAAAATTTTTAATTTAAATGCTAGTTCTCGATTGAAAACGTGTTGTCGTAAAAATGGATCTTAAATTTGAAAGTATTATTAAGAAACGTTTTTATTCGGGTTAAAAAACCCGAATGTTCAAAAATAATTAAGCCATAAAAACAACAACAAAAACAAGGTTTCCGAATATAATGCTTCCGTATATAAAACTCCCGAATTTAAATTTCCATAAAGAATTATTTTCAAATCAATCCTAAATTTAATATGTCAAAAAATAAATAAAAGTTAAAATAGTAAAATATGATGGTGTTTTCTTAGATAACTAATTCTTTTCAAAAAATATAGAGGTTTAAACAAGTAAAAAAGTTTAAATAACTTATTTAAAACTTGTTCAATTAGTTTAAAGTTAATTTTCTGCTTCTAGTTTAATTTGAGTGTGTTTTGTTATCTTTTTACAGAGTTACTTTAAGTTCATATAATATTATTTCCTGTTCATTTTCACTTTTTGGAAACTATTTAGTTTGATTTTACTAAAATACAAAAAAAAAAAAAAAAAAAAAAAGCTAAATAAAGTAGATTGAATAAAGAGAAGTTATGCCTCAGCTAAATGATGTTGTATGGGTAAGAAAAGTTTAATCTATTAACTTTGATTCTATTATAATGATGCTTATTTTTTAGGTTGATAGTGAAATTTTATCAAATTGCATAGGTTAATAGTGGAATTTTATTAAAGAAACTGTTGTGGAAACGTTCCTATAAACGTTTTAACAGTAACTTTAATTTGAATAATAAAATGTCCAAGATCATGTAATTAAATTTTAGAGTCAAAGTGGTTTTGAAGATTTAAAGAAATTGTTTTGTAAAAACAATGAGTTTCTTCGTGATGCAGCCTTACTCTTTTTTGAAAGGTATTATAATTGTTTTTAATAGTTAAAGTAAAAATAAGTTTAAAAAATTGTATTTGCATAAAATTTATTTTAATTTATTTTTGTGTCAACAAAAGTAAAAAAAACTTACTTTTTTGTAAAGTAAAATATAAAATATATTTATTCACAAAAAACATGTAAATGTGAATTTAGGCTTGTGAATAATTAACACTCTAGCCTAATTTTGTAGAGAGTGTGAAAACAAGAAAAGAAATGTTGTTTTTATAAAAGATTGGCTCATTTTTTTATAGTTAGTTTTAACTTACTAAACATAATTTTTTGTCCAACTAAAATTACTAAACATTAAAATTATTAAACTTAAACACTAAAAATAAAAAAAGTCAAGTTTAAAATTTTTTTTCATCTAATGTTTATTTCTAATATATTTTTTATTTTTTATTTTTTTTTAATTCATTTTGATTTTTTTATTATATTTATTATTGTTGTTATTGTTTACTTTATTTTTTTTTTAATTTAAAACTGTTTTAACAGGTGGTTTTTACTTAAAGCATCTTTGAAAAGATTAAAAGTAATTAAGTTTAAATGATGATATAAAATTATATATATATATATATATATATATATATATATATATATATATATACATATATATATATATATATATATATATATATATATATATATATATATATATATATATATATATATATATATATATATATATATATATATATACATATATATATATATATATATATATATATATATATATATATATATATATATATATATATATATATATATATATATATATATATATATATATATATATATATATATATAATGTTGCCCATGGCAGCTCTCTATTTTAGTTGAGCATCCAAGTGCTAATCTAAGAATGCTTTTTATATGTGTATAAGTATTTTTATCATAAAATGTAATGTTTTTTAAGAGAAATTGTTACTATAGAAGACCTGGAAATGTTTAAAAACTCAAAAATGATTTTTTGTAAATTAATAGATTGCCTGCCTTATCCAAAACCCTCAATTGATGTAAAAGCGCTCCTTGTTCATTCTCCCTATTTTAGTCAGTTGATGTAGCTGCACTTCTTGTATGTTCTCATTAATTAAGTAAGTCAATGTATGTTCACTCCCTGCATTTTCTCCCTATTTAATTCAGTCAATGTATGTCCACTCCTTGCATGTTCTCCCTATTCAAGTCACTCAATGTATGTGTACTTTTATAATTAAAATCCAGTAAATAGTAAAATGGTGAAAAAGCTTTAAACTATACTTTTTATGGAAAAAAATGTTGACAAAAGTTTTATTACCCTGCTAGTAACTTTTTAAATTTTTGAATTGCAATGCAGCTGTGAAGTATGACATTTATAAAATATAAATGTTGATTGACATAAAATATTAATGTCAAGTAATTGACATTGATATTTTATGTCAATCAAATTATTATTGTTATTATTATTTTTATTAACACTATTACACTAATAAGTTCTTCATGTCTTTACTTATAAATTGAGAACTTTGTTGTGTTTCACTTTGTAAATATTGCTTAGATCCAAATTAGAACAAGCATTTTCTGAGGGTTTAGTAAAGTTTGCAGCAAAAGCAAAAAAGATCTGTGGAGAAAATGGGTATGTTCTTTTGCTATCTGAAAACTAATAATTTTTTAAGTTTTTTGGGCAAAAAAAAAAATATTTATTTTCTTTATTTTTTAAATCACTTTTTTTTTAAATCACTTTTAAATCACTTAAAAAAATATTTATTGTCTTTATTTTTCTAAAAAGAACTTTAAAAACTTCTTGGGAAGAGCTTGCAAAACAAACTGAGGAAGAAGCTGATATTCATAGGTTTAATATAGTATTATAATACAGTATTTTATTTCTATATAAAAATCTTGCCTTTAAAAAATTTAGTTTATTATTATCTTTTTTTTTTTTTTTTTTTTTTTGTTTATATAGGTTGGTATCTACTAATTTAATGGAAGATATAGTAAAGCCTTTAAAATTGTTTGCAGATAATCAAAAAGAAGCTCGAAAGGCTGTAAGTTTTTATGAATTCAAAAGATACTATTGGTGTTTATGATTAAATGAGATTCTGAGGTGCAGAGACATGCTTTCACAAAGTTTTTGCACTTTAGTATTTAATTGTTAATTTCAATAAACTTATGCTTTTAAAACTTAAATAAAGAAGAACTAAAAAACTTATATTGATAAAAGTGATTTAAAAAATAACTTTTTTTAACTATATCAAAAATTATTTTTATCTTTTATCAAAGCGCAAAGGAAAAAAACTAATTAAGCAAAAGTTTTTCGGTCAACTTTATTAATACCAATTAGAAGATGATGCAAAAATGATGCAAAAACTTTCTTAAATACATCCTGTGAAGTGAGTTAATCGAGAACACAGGTTTTATTAAAAAGCTCTTAATATGTTAAGAGCTGATTGAAAGCTTAAAAACTTAATGAATATGTCAGAAAGGTTTTATGCACCATAAACCTTTTTTTTTTTTAGGTAAGAGATTAGTAAGATAAGTCAGTAGGAGTGATCAATGTATAATGTTTTACTTAAAATGAAATATTAAAAGTTTGTTAAAAAAATGTATAATGTTATACTTAAAATAAAATATTAAAATTTTGTTAAATAAAAAATCAGAGATCTTACTAATAGTAAAAAGAAACAGAATGGAACTTTAGAAATTGTTTTGAATGTTGCAAACAATTTCTAAAGTTTTTAAAAGTAGCAGATTCCATTTTACTGCAGATAGGAAAACAAGATTCAGTTAAGCACCTGTGAAAGCTTTTGCCAACTTATATTATAACAGAGACTATTGAAAAGAGTTCTGGAGATCAAGTTCTGGAGTTTGCAAGACATGTGATATTTATGTTGTTTGACCTTAGGCTGTAATAGTATTTAAGTGGGAAATAACTTTAGATAGGCAAGTTGCAGTTTTGGGCATGTATAGCCAAGGATAAATCTATTTCGCTGTGAAGAAAAAGTTTGATAATTTATTTCAAGAGATGAGTTAGAGAAAAAGTTCATTGTCTTTTACTTGGCAGGCATAACAAACTCAGTTTTTTGATTTTTTTACTTACATCATCAAAGGATTTTCAAAATTCTCTAGAAATTAATTCCACAATTGTTCTTATTACTAATGATTTTTTTTGTTGTTGTTGCATCAATTACTTGCCATAGTAAAAAGGCAATTATTCTTTCTAGAATAGGTAAAAATAATAAAAGTAATTATTAAATTTTTTATTACTTTTTATTGCCCAAATAGGAGAAAAACACAGGGTAAAGTGACGCTTCACCTAAAATTAATGAGAAAGAGAAAAAGTCTTCTTGTTTATTTGAATCAGAGTTTACATAAGAAGTGTGAATTTCAGCAGGACAACAGGCATCATACCAAGGATCATCATGAAATAAATCACAAAAGAATTCCACTCAGTTTTAAATTAGTTGTAAGATCACCTGAGCCGCCTAAAGGAAAATGAGGACTACATAAAGGAAATTGAGCAAAAGCTTTGATAGAGACAAGACAAATCAAAAATCAAATGTAAGTGATTTGATTTGTCCATAAAATCTAAGTAAGAAATTGAGAAAGTCAAAAGTTTTGAGACTTAGTGCCAGCTAAGTCAATAGTGCTGAAGTCAAGTTGTTTAATATGATTTGCACTAAAGTGTTTGCCTTCTGCAAAACAGTAGCAGAATGCAGTTTATATCAGCCCAAAATTAAAAATTTAATTGAGAAACCATCTTTAATCTTTAATCAATGAAGAGCCCTTTGTCTCCTTAAGGGAGTTTTTTAACCCAGAGTTCTTCTGACTTTCTCTGAAAAAATAAGTACTTAAATGCAGGAGGTTATATGAAAATAATAAAAATAATCTTTGCTTTCACAACAAAGCATAATGAATGTATGTTTCACAACATACATTCATTATGCAAATATCAAGAAAAGAAAGAAATTTGTTATAATCAAATATTTTTTAAAATGTAATTTTAAATTTATTTATTTGATATTAAAAAAAAAATTAAAAAAAATAAACATTCCCTTATTGTATTAATAAAAAAGTTAATGTCTTTAAAAAATAAAAAAATAAAGAGAATTTTATATATACATATATATATATATATATATATATATATATATATATATATATATATATATATATATATATATATATATATATATATATATATATATATATTGATATATATGTATATGTATATATATATATATATATATATATATATATATATATATATATATATATATATTGATATATATATATCAATATATATATATATATATTGATATATATGTATATATATATATATTGATATATATGTATATATATATATATATATATATATATATATATATATATATATATATATACATATATATTTATATATATATATATATTGATATATATATGTATATATATTTATATATATATATTATATATATTATATATATATATACATTATATATATATATATATATATATATATATATATATATATATATATATATATATATATATATATATATATATATATATATATATATATATATCAGGCCTTGCGATAAAGCGTCGGGCGATGTGAATTTTACGTCGTCCAAGAGCGATTTTGCGTGTAACTAGGGCTATTTGCGTCGAGCAAAAAAAATTTTGTTTGAGTATATTTAAAGATATTTTTGAGCGGAAGTAATTTACGATTATTTTAACATTTAATAAAGTATTTTAAAAACCGCACGCAGTTGATATAAAAGTTTGAATTACAAAAAAATTAAATATGCTCATTATTTACTATTAGAAAAAATTCAGATAATAAAAGAAGTTTTTTAAGCTTTTTTTTTAATTTTTTTAAAATCTTTTTAAATCTTTTTTTTAAATCTTTTTTTTAAATCTTTTTTTTAAATCTTTTTAAGCTAACATTTTAATAAAATTATGCAGCAATAGCAAAGTTGTCAAAAAAATTGAACAAAAATACTTTCTTTTAGTTTTAGATTCTTAACTTAAATAATTATTTTATGGGAGTTTGTTAGGTTTTAAAATTATTCCATAGATTTAAAAAAATTTATTAACTGTTAGACGTATTTAAAGTATTTAAGAGTAATTTCGAGGAAACATTTTAAAAATTGGTAAGCGCAAATAAAAAAAATTAAAAGGATTAATATTAAAACGTATTCTACTTGATTCAATAAGAAAGTACAGCAATTAAAATTTTTGTAAAAAGTAACTCGAGAAAAATTACTTAAATAATAACTATTGCTTTTTTGTTAAAAGTTACCGAAACTCAACTTAAGTAATGACAACCTTTCAAAGTTTATCTAATATTATTTTGAAAACTTCTTGTTCTGTATAGAGAACCATATTGAATAGAGAAATTACCAGAAACAAAGTAATATACTTTTACTAAAAGGTTTTTTTCACGTGTTCAGTGTTTAATGTTTGTTCTTATTCTGAATTCAATAATTTTATTGTAAAAAGCTTTAAGCCATTTGGTGACGATTATGTGGTTAAACAGTTTTTATTGTAAATTATTGTTAATTGGTATATATGGCTTTTAATGTTAATTTTTGAGGGTTTTTAATTCAATATAAATTATTGCTCGAATTCGTAAATAGGAAGTTTTAATTCAGTGACGAATGTCATTACCTAATTCCTGTGTTTCATGCAAGCTATAGCTTTAATGAATAATCGTAGTTATAACTACGCAACATAAATAAAATACTATACAATATTTTCATATTGTAAATACAAACCATTAATTATGGTTTACAAAATTACATAGTTAAAAAGTTTGATTCGCCATAAAAATTTAGGCTGTATACACAGTAATCGCAGGGGTTGGAAAATGGTCTTTGCCGCTCTTTTATGGAAAATTAACAATTTGAATGCAATAAAAAAAGTGTTATGTTATAAATATCTTTTAATCCTTGATCTTTTCTAAAGTTGTTTATTTTACGCAAAGGCTTTAAATAAAACCATAAAATTAATTATAGTTTTGTTTACATAAACGTTTGTGTAAATTAATAAAAAACGTTATAATTAAGTTTTTTAATGTAGGCATTTATTTTTTATGATAGTTTTAAACATTTGAAACTATTTTCTTATGTCTTCCTAAAAAATTTTTTAAACCGCTATTTTTATAAAGAATTTTTTTAAGTTACTTTCATTTGTGAATAAGTTCAAAAGCTTTTGTGTCTACTAACTTTTATACATTTTATGTGAATCACACAAGAATATAAAATATTTTTATTTACTTATATAAGCATGTATTTTGTTGATTTAATAAAAAAGTTTTAAAGCATTTTGTAATGTTCATACGATTAATTTTTATGATTAAACTTACGATTTTTTAAAATGTTTTAAAGAAACATTTTATTTTTTGTAAACAATTTTTTTTTTCAATTTCGTTAGAAATGAATGAAATTAAATCTTTTGTAATGATTTTTAAATTCGTTACGCAAAGCGCTTATTAATAAAGTTGTAATGCTCAAATTAAAATTAAATGAAAATACTTGTTGGCACTTTATTTTATTTAAATTGCAGGCGCATTTTATTTTTATTATTATTTTTTTCTATTTTTACAAATAAAAAAGTTCAAAACCTTTTTTTTAATTAGACTCACTAATTAGAGCATGAAATCAGTAAAAATTACTATTTTAAACAGGCTACCTTGTTTTTTTTAAACAATTTTTTTTTGCAACTTTTTGACAAAATAAATGTTTATACAATATAAATATATTATATAAAACACTTTTTATTAAATTTAATGAAATTTGTTCTTTTATTAAACCAATCATTAGTAGATTATCTAATCATTAGTAATTTGTTACTTTAAAAACGTTTTGCATAACTTTAATAACACTTAAAAAGATAAGCTTTAATAACATTTATTTCATACGTAATTAAAAGTCATTTCTGTCCAAGCCTGATATATATATATATATATATATATATATATATATATATATATATATATATATTATATATATATATATATATATATATATATATATATATATATATA